CTGCCAATTTGAGCAAAAGTTGTGAATGCTGCTATTCCTCTTCCTCCTCTTCTCCTTCTCCTTCTCCTCCTTCTCCTTCTCCTTCTCCTCCCTCTTCCTCCTCCTCCTTTTCTTTCCTCCTCCTTCCTCCTCCTCCTTCTTCCTTCTTTTTTCTCCTTCTCTTACCACATGTGGTCCCTTTCCTTACAAGTGGATGCTCTGTCTACAGGAATATATTTTTTTTTTGTTATTTTCATTTTATTTTATTTAACTTATGGAATAAAACAAGCATTTCCATAACATAGTGCAATAAAAAAAAAAGATGATTGTACATGAAACTGCAAACCTACTATGCATAACCTGCTGAAATATAATTTTGATTGCTTACATTTTATGGGACATTTTAGGGCTTGCGGACTAGATTTTTAAAATTTTTTATTCCTATTTATTTAATTTATTATTATTTTCTTTAAAAAACTGAGACAATTTACTTTTTGTCCTGAGCAGTTTAATTTATAATTTCTTGAAATATAGCTCTGGAAAAAAAAAACAGGCTTTAAAAAAGCCCATTGTGTTTCACCTGGAGCTACTTGACTGTGTCTTTAAATCCAAATCACTCTGGCTTTCATTGAATGGCCAATTATAGCCCCCAAACCAAGCCTCAGTAGCTAATTATTTAGGTTCTGGTGGCTTAGAATGAATGTAAGTAGCAATTGTTTTCTGTTCTGGCCAGAAGCTCTAAGGGTCTTCCTCTCCCAGATGATAATTTGGTGATGGAAAACTGGGCCATCTTTTGTCTCAGTTCTTACCTAGGCCTTAGTCGTTGAATGGGCACTGCCTCAGATAAAATGAGACTGGGGGAAGACTTAACTTAGAAAGGCCAACGTCACCCCTGGCATTCTGGGCCATCGCCAGTTGTCTTGACCTTTGTCTTGCCACTGGACTTCAATGACTTTGGAGGAGAGAGTCAGACTGATGACGTTGTGCAGTTCTGCCTCACTTAAATCCATCTCACAAGTAAGTCAAGACATTACCTTCATAATGTCATTGATCCTCTTTGAGAAGTAAGGACAAACAACGATCCACCATACAAGGAGGAAATGCTGAGAGCTGCCAGTGGGAAGTAAAGAATAGTGTATCCACAATTAAAACAGTTCTAGCTGAATGTAAATTACTAGGAAGTCAGAGTGATATCCTTTTTAGGCTTTTTGAATGGAAGGCTTCCCAAGGGACAGACCCCAAGTCTGGCTTTTATATATGCCCTTAGGGGAAGTCTAATACACAGATTGGTGGATTTCTGATTGGTTAACACAAACACTTTTGGAGAACAAAGTGAGACCAGAGGCAAGACCAGAGTAAAGAAAAATTTCAGTCTTGGGTCCTCACACATTGCTTTCTAGTCCTCAGGATAAAAGCAGGATGCTGTCATATTTTAAAGTTAACATCAATGTAAGCAGAATGATTTATTTGTAAGGAACTGGAGGAAATCACACTAATGAGCTGCCCAGGTATACTACTCATATGTGTTATCTAAACTAAACTGGACCCTCATTGCAGCAAAGCAATAAATTTTGGGGGCAGCTGGGTGGTGCAGTGGATAGAGTACTGCGCCTGGAGTCAGGAAGACTCATCTTCTTGAGCTCAAATCTGGCCTCAGACACTTACTAGCTATGTGACCCTGGGCAAGTCATTTCACTCTGCCTCAGTTTCTGCATCTGTAAAATGAACTGGAGAAGGAAATGGCAAACGACTCCAGGATCTTTGCCAAGAAAACCCCAAATGGGGTCACGAAGAGTCGGGCATGACTGAACAACAACGAATCAATCGATTCCTAATCCCGTTCCCCAGAGTGGCTATTCTGCATCTTCTCTTCCCAAACCTTCCATACCTTCCCTACCCCCATGCTCTCAAGCAATCAGCTTTACTTCTTACTTGACTGAAAAAATTGAAATCATTTACTACCAGCTTCTCCTCTCTTTCTCTTCATCTCAAAGTCCCTTAACACAATCTCTCCTTTTCTTCAGGCTCTGATAATATAGTGGACCTACTTCTTGCCAGTGGTAATCACTTCATACGTGCCCTTGACTTTTCCAGATGATTGCCCCCCACAATCATCCTTTCCGTCTTTCTCTCGAATGTTTAGTCTCTCCCTATCTACTAGATCCTTCTCTGCCATATCCAAACACACCCAAGTCTTCCTCATTCCCCGTGTGTGGGGATATTCCAGGGCTCGGTCCCAGGCCCTTCTTTTCCAATTCATATTTTTCTTGGAGGTTTTAGATGTGGGAGCTTTGACTTTGTTGTCTTCTTCCAAACGTGTGTTTTGGTATTCCTTGTCACCATAGTAACCTTCTATGGTCAGAATTTTTTCTGTAGTTTGCTCATTTCTCCAGCCTGTTTCTTGACTTTTCATTCTTCATTAAAGTAGGGCTCTGCTTCCAGGGTGGAGGGCTCACTGTCCTAAGCTTCAGGAGTTTTGTGCAGCTGTTTTCAGAAATATTTCTGTAAGTTTTCAGTTCTTCCAGGGTGGTATGATCTAAGGAGAGGTATGTTTACTATTCTGGCTTTGCTCTGATCTGTGAGCAACCGCAAGCACTCTTTTCTGCCCTAGAACTATGAAGAGGGCCCCTACTCCATTGTGGCCACAAGCTCTAGTGTGCTAGTACTCCTCCTTACCCTGGGACTGCCACCCAAGACTGTGACCCAGATCTGAGTATGGGCAAAGCAACAGAGTCCTGCCTCAGTGCTAGCAAAGAGACTCCTGTAATCTTCTTCTCACCGGTTGTTTCCCCTTACCATCTGTGTTCTGAGAGCTCTGGAAGCAGCTGATGCCACTGCTGACTCAGTGGCTCCCAAGGCCTGCTCCTGGTTTGCTGGGGCTGGGTCTATGCTGGCATGGCCTGTGCTGGACTGTGCCCCACTCTCACCCAGGTGCAACAGGCCTTTCCTGCTGACCTGCTAAGTTGTTTTTGGCTGGAAAATTTTATCATCCCATCCTTTTGTGAACTCTGATGCTCCAGGAATTGTTTTATGGCATTAATTGAAGGTGTTCAGAGGGGCTTGGAGGAGAGCTCAGAAGTCACTGTCTTCTTCATCTTGGCTCCATCCCCCTGGGCCCTTCTTTTCTATCTCTATTTCTCTCTCTCACCAGTGCCACGAGTTCAGCCATCATCTTAATGAAAGTGATTTAGCCAGCCCTCACCTCTCTCCTGAGCTACAGTTCTGCATCATCAATTGCCTATAAAACATTCTGTACTGGTTGTCCCATAGATTTCTCAGAATCAATATATCAGGGCATCTAGGTTACTCAGTGGATAGAGTACCAGCTCTAGAGTTAGAAGGACCTGAGGTAAAATCTGGCCTCAGACACTTACTTGCAGCGTGACCCTGGGCAAGTCACTTAATCCTGTGTGCCCCCATCAAAGAATCAATATGTCCAAAATGGAATTCATTAGCTCTCTTATCCACCCCCCAAAAAAAAATAAACAACAGATGCCAAACCTCCCTATCTCTTTGGAGGCTGCTAGAGGTGCAGTGGTGGGGCTAGAATCCGGAAGAACTGAGTTCAAATCGGACCTCAGACACTTGGTAGCTGTGTAAAACTGAGCATGTCACTTAATCCCTGTCCCCATTTCTTCAACTGTAAAATAGGGGTTATAATAGCACCTACCTCATAGAGCTCAAATGAAATCTTTGTAAAGCACTTACTACAGTACCTGGTACAACATAGGTGCTTAATAAAACTTATTCCACCCCGGCCTTCCATTGAAGGCAGCATTATTCTTCCTTTCTACCAAGCTCATAACTTTGGCATCATCCTCAACTCCTCACTCTTTCTTACCCTGCATACCCAACCAGTTGTCAATCCTGCCACGTTTACCTCTAACACCTGTCACATGCGTCTTCTCACTACTCACATACCCACCACCTTAGTCCAAGAGTTGTCGCCTCATGGCTGCCTTTTTAAAATAGTTTCCTAATTGGTCTCCACTCCAATCCATTCTCCACTCAGGGACCAAAATAATTTTCCTTACGTGCAGATCTAACCATGTCTAACCCTAACTGAATAAGCACCAGTGGCTCCCTGTTGCCTCTAGGCTGAAATACAATCTTCTCTGACTCTTAAAGCCCTTTTCCACACAGGCCCCCATCTACCTTTTCAACATCATTGTAGATTGCTCCTCTTCACTCACTCTACAGCTAAGCCGGACTGGCCTCTTCATTCCTTACACATGGCACACCATCCCTCATCTCTGTGCCTTTGCACCGGCTGACCCCCATGCCTAGAATTCCCACCCTCCTTGCCTCTGAGAATTCCTTGCTTTCTTCAGGTCTCTGCTGAAGTATCACCTTCCGCACAAAGCCTTTCCTGATCTCCCCAAATGCTAACACCCTCCATCCAGAACTGTCTTGCAACATTTTGCACATATTGTTGGGGAGCTAGATGAAGCAGATGAAGCCTCCTTGTGACACAGAGTCAAAAGCCAGCATAGAAGAGCTCAAGAGAGCCCACAGTGTTACACCTCTCCACTCTCCTTCACTCCTCCTCTTCTCTCTGCCTGTATTCTCTCCCTTTCTGCCTCCTTTCCCTTTCTCTTTCTTTCTCTTTCTCCATTCTCTCTCTCTCCTTCCTTCTCTCTTTTCCCTATCCCTCTTTCTCTCCCTTCTTTCTTCTTCCTCTCTCCCTCTTTCCTTTTCTCCCTTTCTCCCTTCTCTCTCCCTCTTTCTCTTTTTCTCTTCCCTCTCTCTCCCTCTTTCTTTTCCTCCCTTTCTCCCTTCTCTCTCTTCTCTTTCCCCTCCTCCTTCCTTCTTTCTCCCTTTCCTTTCCCTCTCTTTCACCCCTACCTTTTCTACCCTTCTCTCTTCTTTCTCCTTCTCTCTCCTCCCTTCTCTTTCCCTTCTCTCTCCCTCCTCTCTTTCTCCCTTCTCTCTCTCTCTCTCTCTCTCTCTCTCTCTCTCTCTCTCTCTCTCTCTCTCTCTCTCTCTCTCTCTCTCTCTCTCTCTCTCTCTCTTCCCCCCTCCCTTTCTCTCCCTCTCTCTGGCTAGTTAAGGAATAATAGGTCTAGAAAGTATTTATGGTTTCTAAATAAGGAATAAGATCTAGAGAGAATTTATGGTTTCATGTAACAGATTATAAATCATCTTCTGTGGTCTCTATTTCTTCCTCTATAACCTTGGACCAGTGCAGAACGAGGTCAACGCCAGCCCTACAAAGTTGGTGAGTTTCCAGGCAGAGTCCATTGTTTGACTGCTGTGGGTGAGGACTGCCCAAGGTCAGTTTCTACACTCAGCTGAATGCTGGATGCTCGATTGTGTTTTTTTCAGATCAGTTTTTTTTCCTCCCATCTCCAATGCTCCTGGAATAATCACACAAGCAAGGTTAGTCCCCTAAAATAACATAATATATCAAAGAAGGCCTACTAGGACATAAGAGGAGAGCTAACAAACAGAACAGTGAATAGGGGTAGGAGCTGATCAGTACAGACATAGCAACCAATGAGTTTCTGACTGCAACAAACAGAGACTTCTTGATTAAATATGGAGTGGGGGTGGGTGGGAATTCATCAGCACCTGCTTCTCAGCTGGGAGCCCCGGAGAAGGGGAAGTGTCTCTAAGCGGGAAGTCTGAGACCTGATATTGATTGGCTGCAGAGACATTCGAAATGGTTTGTCAAGTCCCAACTATGGTTCCTTTGTTTCATTTGCTTTTGTAGGAGCTCTGTGACTCTGCTCATGGTATCTGGTAAAAAGGAGTATGTAAACTCTGATCTTGGGAGTTTTGAAAGACCTGTAAAATAAAGCTGAAAGGCATTGAAGACCCAGGGCTTGTGTGATCTGAACCTACAGAAAGATAAAATAAAATTAAAAAAAATAATAAAAAGTTAAAATCTGTGCTGAACCTAAACTTCATGGACAAATATTTTGTCCACAGTAGCATATGTTCTGTTACCAATGGGAAACCCACACTCCTTCAGCAGAAGATCATAGTGGGCGGCCGAGTCTCTGGCCCCCAGCTAGTTGATGACATCAGCTTGAATTTTTTTATTAATTAATTTATTTTTAGTTTTCAACAATCACCTCCACTAGCTTTTGAATTTTAAAATTTCTCCCCTTCCCTCCCCAAGATGGTGTGCAACCTGATATGGGCTCTACTTACACATTCATATTAAGCATATTTTCACATTAGTCATGTTGTAAGGAAAAATTAGGACCAATAGGAGCGACCACAAGAAAGAAGAAACAAAACAAAACAGAAGGAAAAAAAAAGAGAAGCAAACAGCATGCTTCCATCTGCATTCAGACTCCATAGTTCTTTGTCTGAATGTGGATAGCATTTTCCATCATGAGACTTTAGAGATATCTTAGATCCTTGCATTGCTGAGAAGGACTAAGTCTATCAACATTAGTCATCACACAATGTGACTGTTACTATGTACAACATTCTCTTGGTTCTGCTCACTTCACTCAGCATCAGTCCATATAAGTCTTTCCAGATTTTTCTGAAGTCTGCCTGTTCATCATTTCTTATAATAGCACAACAGTATTCCATTACATTCATATACCACAACTTGTTCAGCCATTCCCCAATTGATGGGCATCCCCTCAATTTCCAATTCTTTGCCACCACAGAAAGAGCTACTATAAATTTTTTTGTACATGTGTATCCTTTTTCCATTTTTATGATCTCTTTGGGATATAGCCCTAGAAGTGCTATCACTGGGGTCAGAGTATGCACATTTTTATAGCCCTTTGGGGCATAGTTCCAAATTGTTCTCTAAAATGGTTGGATCAGTCCACAACTCCACCAACAATGCATTAGTGTTCCAATTTTCCCACATTTATCATTTTCCTGTTTTGTCATGTTAGCCAATCTGATAAGTAAGATGCGGTACCTCAGAGTTGTTTTGATTTGCATTTCTCTAATCAATAGTGATTTAGAGCATTTTTTTTCATATGACTATAGATAGCTTTAATTTCTTCATCTGAAAACTGCCTGTTCATATCCTTTGACCATTTATCAATTGGGGAATGACTTGTATTCTTATAAATTTGACTTAGTTCTCTATGTATTTTAGAAATGAGGCCTTTAGGGGGCAGTTAGGTGGCACAGTGGATAGAGTACCGGCCCTGAAGTCAGGAGGACCTGAGTTTAAATCCAGCCTCAGATCAAACACTTGAGACTTACTAGTTGTGTGACCCTGGGCAAGTCACTCAACCCCAAATTGCCTAAAATAAATAAATAAATAAAATTAGAAATGAGGCCCTTATCAGAGACACTGGTTATAAAAATTTTTTCCCATTTTTCTGCTTTGACTTGAATTATTGTAAGGCACTGATAAAATGTGCCAAAGCCTTCCATACACAGGTATAAGCTACCTTGCCCAAAGACCCAGAGGAGCTCTGCCATCTCATACAAACTGGCTACTTGGTTTGAGTAGAAGTCCATCGGGGGAAGACTTCTCTGAAGTCCTGCTGGGTGGGTTCCTCATCACTAGCATTGCACAAAGGTACCAAGACCCTCCCATGTGCATCTATGCTTCACACTGTAAGAGGACATTGGCTTCATGAGACTCCAACTGACAATTATTCGTCTTGTCTGGAAATCCTCTGCTGATTTGTGGCAAGCCAAATATTGACTGGCAGGGGCATTGAAGTCCATCAGTACATCTCTATTATCTGCAGGTGAAGAGGATCTGCCATCATTCCTTTCTCCTTCAAATGAAGAGGAGGGGTTTTTGTGTGTGTTGTCAAGGGTTTCTTTGGCAGTCTGGCAAAGTCTATGGACTCTTTTTTAGAATGACGTTTTCATTTATTTTTTTTTTGAGGCAGTCGGGATTAAGTGACTTGCCCAGGGTCACACAGCTAGTAAGTGTCTGAGTGTGGATTTGAAATCAGGTCCTTCTGTCTTCAGAATCAGTGCTCTATCCACTGAGCCACCTAGCTGTCCCTCAGAATGATGTTTTTAAATAACTGAAGGAAATGTCAAATTTCAGGTAGAGGTTAGTGAAAATAAGGGTCAAACCATCCCTCTACACAGGTGAGGTGGATCGAAGGAGTAGGTCATGAGAACTGAGTAGATGTAGGAATTGGGAGGGACTTCAACATTCAAGTTGATCATTCCTTCAAAAATCTTCTTCTCCCAATTCCTACATCTAGTTGGGATATAGAGGGACTATGAACCAGGTATTAAACTCCTTGAGGAAGTAAGGAGAATGAGCTTGGGTTGGGCGGCTAGTAGATCGTTACTAGAATATGGATTTAGTGATAAAATCTAGACCCACAGGAGAAGATCCTGACTCATGGCAGCAGAGGGAAGCAAAGACTCATTCATTAAGACCAGGGTATATGGGAGGCAGTAGCAGCAACGTCAAGAAGAATGACTTGAGAATTTCAGTGTCTTCTTGGGGAAGCAAGTTGTCCATGAATGCCAGGTGATGAAAAGAGCACAAGCGGTCTAAAAATGATGGAAAGTGTGTATTAAATACATTATACTTAACTGCTCTGTGTGTGTGTGTATCCTAAATGCTCCCCAAAGGATTGGGCAGAGAAACATTGGGGAATTGTCTACCCGCTAGCAATCAGGCACCGGTCTCCAAGGTTACACCATCATAACCTCCTATTACTGTATTTGTACTGTAAGGTGGTGCCTCTTTCTTATTTGGACACTATTTACTGAAAGGGGGCAGAAAAAAGAACATTTGTGTGAGAAACACTGAGAAAAGCAACCTCTCAGTACATAAGCAGAAACACAAGCAACACTAAGACCTGAGAGAAAGTATCCTCTCATGGGAAAAGGACTTAACTGAATATAAAGATGGTCCAAATGTTTCCTAGGAACTCATTTACATATGACTATTGTGTGGCCTTTGAGGCTGATAGCTTGGACACCCAGATAACTAGGACTGTTTGGTAATTTTGGGACAATTGTACATTGCCTGTCTATGGTGGGTCTGACAGAAATGTGCATTTTGGTTTTTCACCCTGTGGTAGAGGTGGCACTTCACACCAGGAAATCCTGCTTTGAGGCAAGAGTCAGTCATGGAGGAGAGGTGGGGAGAATAGAGCGAGGGTGGAGGAGGGGGAACAAGGAGGAACAAGGAGGAAAGGAGAGTTGAGTCTCACTCTGGAGCTTCTCATCGTCATCATCACTGAATTGTTTCCACCTGAGCATAAGGAAAGTCTACCTGCTGCTGGGAGCTGATCTGATTGGAGGAAGGCTCTGCTTTTTAAAGCTGATTGGAGAAGAGAGGACTCTTCAGCTGTTTGAAGGGCTAGCTAGGAAAAGAAAAAGCTTAAATAAGTATTGACTTTTACCACCACCTGCATGCAGCTTCAGATCCAGGAAACTCCTCTGAGCTTACGTGAGAGAGCTAACCCTCATACCTCTTCAGGAACTGCTTTTGTTGAAAGAGCTAACACTGCCTCAGAGTCTAGCCATAAAGAACAGATCTGAATAGTTCTATGGACCCCAGGCTTAGGGTCTCTGCTTTCACTAAAAGAGCTTAACACTGTTCCAGTCACCTAAGAGCAGCAACCAATCAGCCCAGCAGGTGAGTGGAGAAGCCCAGAAGAGGAGTAGCTCTTTCCAGAAGGGGACAAGCAGTAGACTCTTTCTTGAAGGAATCCAAGCCTCCAATACAGAGCTGTGAGTAGCCCTGGGCACAAGCTTGAATAAACCAGACAAGGAGGAAAACCCACGCGTCTTGTGATACTGTGGCTGAGGAGCATACACCCAGCCATGGCCACTCAGAGGTAGGTAGCTATGGTGCTGTGAGATGTGGATCTAGAATTCGATAATTTCCCAGGTGCAGGCCCAGAGTTCTAAGGACAGAAAGCAGCTCCCTAAGACTGAGACGAGATCAGTGGGAGGGTGAGCAGAAGAAGCACCGGGTCCAGGATGGGTTGTAGTTTCACAAAATCTAGACACTGCAGGGTTCCTCCCATCTCCTTCACAACAGGCTGGTCATTGCTGAATAGGTGGCCCAGAATATAAACCCTTGCCTGGCCAGCCCTTCCTTCCTGAAAATAGACCTAGAGACAAGAGGTGACAGGTTGGGAGCGTGTAGCCATACTTTTTCCCCCAATCACCACCATCAATTGAACCTGGGACTTAATGCCCTCCCAGACCATCAGTAACGGCTGGGAGAGGAAGAAAGAATGAAGTAGTTTTCTCTATGTGTTAGGCAATTCAGGGAGATGATAGATCCCTCCAGTATTTCTTACTTTCAAAATCAGACTATGCCTCTCCTTGTAGGAACCCTTCTTACCATGCTGGGACCTCATATCCCCAGCATCGTGTTGGAGGTCAAAGGTTTGTCCATGCTAGTCCCAACCTCTTTCCAATATCTCCTATATTATGTGGGTGTAAGCTCCAAAAAAGGAATTTATCCTCTGCATGCTCCCTACTCCTCACTACTGGGGCTGGAGTCCAGGCAGCCCTTGGCTATCTAAAATTCAGGGTGAAAGACTTCTCCTCACAATTTGGGATAGCAACAAAATTAAGGTAGAAAGAGGAGTGTCAGAGGGAAGCTCCTCCCTACCACTGACCTAACCCGTAACCCACCAGAAGTCACTTTTTACTGATCCTCCCTTATTCTCTCAAGGAGGGAGAATTGGGAGTTCAGGAACCCCAGATCTGTGAAGGAGAAAAGAAAATGTCTGGGGAGAGGCATGGAGGTGGAACAGAAAGACCACATGTTCAACAGATGGTGGGAAATCCCTGCTCAAACCTTTCTAGGTTCCAGGGGATTAAGGCATCATGCCCCTGTCTCCGGGCCTGGCTGCTCCAACATCAAAACAGGAAGCACCCATCACAGCCCATATCATCCCTTCATCATCAAGCCA